AGTGATCTCATTTGAACCATTTTTGTGTTTGCAAAGGTTTAGTTGTCGATATTGTAAGATGTAGATGATACATCTCCACTTATTTTCACTGTTGAAAAATGAAGCCAAACTGCGCCATTTACAGCAGGCAGTACATAAAGCTTGTACTGTACAGCCAGCAGCTAGAGGATGATATATTTTCTTGTGTTTTCAACTTCTGCATGACTCTCTTGCATCTAATCATTGGCTTTCTGTACGACACAGCATTTACTTCATGAAAAAAGTTTAGAGCTTATTGTTTTTCTGAGGCATTAGTTCCGAAACAGAGCTTGATCTGACCTCACAGGTAACTAAAAGCGGTTGTGTGACTGATAAACTTTAAAGTCATCTTAGCCTTTCAAGATGACAGCTCACTTGAGCTGGAGAAATGTAAAAGAGGGGTTAAGCACCTAATCCAAATGTTTATCCGCTGTCACAGGTGACAGCAGAGCGACTTTTCAAATGTGTGTGTGTGTGAGGGTGTTCATGTGTGTGTAAACATAATACTTTCTTATAAGAGGATACCAACTCTTCTCTGCTTTTCACCCAGACACAAAAGCCTGTCCAAACTGTTAGAATGCACAGCCCTGCCTGAACAAACTGCAACTCCTGGGTTATTGTGTCTGTTTGACATGTATAATGTTTCAAAACACACCATCTGCTTTAAGGTTGTTATGGATCAGAGATGATATTCTGCAGACCTTGGCTGTGATCAGCGATTATGCTGTAAATTCTAAAAACATACTTGTCCATAACAATTGTTGTCAACTCTGCATGAGACCAGCTACTTTTCCAAGAACACGTACCTGCTCTGTAACTGACATCTGTACGTCAGCATTCCAACGCTTCTGGTTAATGCTGAGGGGAGCTCAGTTCACATTGAATGGGACTCTATGGGACGTGGGTCAGGCTTAGCTTTTAACAACTGATATATCGCCTAAAATGGATGCACAATCCATCACAAATGCATTGTCATTGGGATGTCTGCATTTGCACTATGCATATCGCAAAGAACAGAGACAACCGCAATGAATGGTCAGTTCAAATGTTTGTTACCCATAATGCATTTTGCCAATCAAACGGAAGCATGACTTTTTTGACAAATCAAATTGAGCTCTTCACCCATTTGGCCAATCAGGTGGGTTCTTATAGGTTAGATGCCTGCCCCCTAGATGGACAGCACTTCATTTGGATGACATGGGCAGCAGTAGCTCAACAGGTTGAGCGGGTTGTCCAGTAATCGGAAGGTTGCAGGTTCGATCCCGGCTCTGGACAGAGAATTCTGCTGTTGTGTCCTTGGGCAAGACACTTAACCCACCTTGCCTGCTGGTGGTGGTCGGAGGGTCCGGTGGCGCCTGTGCTCGGCAGCCTCGCCTCTCATCCCCACCAGTGTATGAATGTGTGTGTGAATGAATGAATGATACACTGTAGTGTAAAGCGCTTTGGAGTCCTTACTCTGAGAGGCGCTATACAAGTGCGGGTCATTAATTTGGATGACTAGCAAAGACCTGAGTTAGCTTTGTTCTGCTCTTTCTGCTGTTTCTACTTTCCCCAGCATCCACTGATGACCTTTTCTTGTTTATTTTCTTTTCCCCTTTCCTCACATCTTTGGATCACTAACTTGCATACTTTGCTTTTGGTTTTTTCGATCTTGAGTTAAGTATTTGTTTATTTATTGCAAGTATCCATATCCACTTTGCAATATTAATCACTGTTATCGCACATTGCAGGTTTTCCTATTATCGTGTAGCCCCATTTCCTGCATCACAGCAGAGGGTAACTCCATCTTTCCGCTGGATGTGAAAGCGGCACCAAACAAACTAGCCGTCATACTAGTGGACAGGGTCCTTTCCACGTGTAACACTATCTTTACATTTCGAGTCTATTTTTTTACACGCTACGCTTCCAAAACACATCAAGCTTTTCAGTTCGGATCAAGCCAGACCGGAAGTCAAACACAAAGGTAGTGTAAAACATCTGGAAACTTTCAAAATAAAATTTATGTGCAGTATGTCTTTCCTTTTAAACCCCCGTAGCTTATATAAATTGAACGGAAAAAAACACCACAGCCCTTTTTGGATACATGCAGCTGTCTTTCTCCTTCCTTTTTATTGTGTGGACTTTTGCAATCACGCGTGGTGTTGCGATTCCCCCGTGATTTTATGACCTCACGAGATCAGCATTATGGAATGCTTTTGCTCCCAAGTGGCATCAGAATCTCTCCTGGTTGGAAAGAAGCTTGCGGGTAAAACATCTCTATTAAGTTGCACGCCGCTTTTTCATCTGGTGGAAAGAAGGGTAAGAATATCACCTTTACGAATAAATTTATTTTTATTAAATCACACATAATTGCTGAAAGGAGAAAAACTCTGAGTTACTGCTTTAATGCCCTGAGTTGCTGCCATGTTAATGGCTGATTAGCTATTTGTGGTAAAGAATACCTAATAAAAGTCATTGGTGAAAGTATTGTGTATCTATAAAGGTTACATGTTCTGCACACTGATTTATGACATATTTTTATGCCAACCCCAGCACCATTGATCGATATAACTTTGCACTGGAGATGAAAAACTCTAAGCACGGGGCTGTTTGGAGATTGTTGACATGATTGCAATTTTTGCATCTGACACGCATCAGAAACAGGATTCTGTGTCTGCCATTGCTTATTTCAAATGTGGGGTGGGAGAGATCATGTCAAGGAGGCGTGTGTCACTCATCTCTCCTCCGGTATGCAGCTTGGCAGGCACCACAATGCCTTTTGCACATTCAATTTCCTGTGTTTAAATCTGACACGTAGGTTTTGTTTTTGTTTTCCTTTTTACCCAACCGAATGCGATAATGTCACTGAGGGATTGCTAGATGAAAATATTTCTGTGGTTCTGTCAGCTTATTTTTCTATTTATTTATTTATTTATTGTGTTTTTGCTGAAGAGATGAATTGAACAGCAGTGGATGCAAGCTTTGGAACCAATGCAGCATGCATTATAATGAAATCATCTTCCTTTTTCCCTTTCAGAGGAGCTGTGGTTTGGAAAGGAGTTTGCAAACCAAATTGGATTAGAAATGGTGGAGATCATGTTAGGTATTTTTCTGGCTTTATACTGTGTGAGTGCGCCGCTTAGTGCTGTGGGTATCAACTTTACACGTGGTTCAGAGGTTTAATATTTAAAAGTGAAGCAGGGATAAGCTTTATCTGTAAGGATCGCTGTTGGACTGAAATGCTTGACAACAGGATGGAGGTTTGGTTGGTGTTAAAACAAAGCGGTTCTTGGACTTCCTGGCTGGTAGAGATTGCTGAGAGCATTTCATGGACTAAAGCTTGGTTCATGCTAGACACATTTACTTTCCGCTTGGTGATGCGGCTCGCGGATGGAACGCGCTTCACAACTTGCAGCGTTTATGGTTCATGCGGCTTGTCTCTGCGGTGAGCCAATATTCTCCCAAACTGTGGGGGGCAGCATGGAGCTCTACGGCATGCATCCAACACTACACCATAGTAGAAGTAGAAATTACTGTTTACAACATGGCATTCCAGCATTTTTAACAGCGTCCTCGTCTTTTCCGACAGTGCGAGCTATTTCTCTCCAAGAATTATTAACAACATGTTGATCATGGTGATCTCTGAGAGATGAATCATACAAATGTCTGTATTTACGAACCTCTGCCATACTAGTTCTTGCCAGTCCGCCAAGTTTTTCCATGTCCGACCGTCCGCGTGGTTAGAAAATTTCCTAGGTGCGCGGTGCGGAAAATTTGAGCCGTGAGGAGGCGCGGTTGTTAAAATGACGCAATTTTGCCGCGCTGAGCTGTGCGAACCTCGCGGACGTGTCAAGCATAAACCAATCTTACCAGGGAAATTTTCAAATTTTGCATCTATTTAGCAGAAATTGGTAACAAGGTAAAATAGTCCTTATACATACATATGTCATGCTCATACTTTGGTCTGGCAATCCTAAATGTTTCACTGATATATAACCACATCTATCTCTTGTGTCATTACAATATAAAACATGTACACTATGATGCTGTCGTGGTCAATATTGATTAGATTCTTATTTCTATAACACAATCATGATGCACCAGAGAAAGCCAGGGATTGAGAACGCTCTTAAACTTTTTGAGATAATTTGAAACCCCCGTTTGTGAATTATGTTACAATTTTGACCAGGAGTCACAGAGAAAGTGGCTGTTACGCCGGGGACACACCGGCCGTCAAAGCGCCGCGAAAAGGGTACCGCCTTCATTCGGCACACTTGTTATCCTATTCTATAGACCACATGGGCGCTCCAGCCCGCGACGTGCAGTGATCGTTTTGGCGTCTGCTCTATTTTTTTTTTCGCGAGCCGCGGGTGGATTGCGTCAATTCTGGCAGGAAGTCAAACCTAGACATAAAAGGCAGGCCGGTAAATTTAACAAAATAAAGCATTTCAAAATACAATTCCGCAATAGTCAAATGTGTTCGTAAACAGACCCTACATAAAACCACACACACACACACACACACAAGTTCGTTGTGTGTGTGACCACATGAAGGGGGTGTGGTTTTGGGTGTCTTTCAACCGGAGCAAACAGGACAGAGAGGCAGAAAGTCGTAGGCCAGCTATTAACAACTGGTTCACACACACACGTACAAACACACACACACAAACAGCAAGGGGGAGGGGGGTGTCGTGGAAAGGATCAAAGAAAAGGCAGAGAGCAAATGGAGGACACCAAGTGGTTAAAAGAAAAACTACGAGGCGCGCCTCGACCGGAGCAGAGAAACCAGCGTCTGGTCTGAACCGAGGAGCAGCGGGCGAATTTCGTGAGCGCTTTGCCTCCCGGCGCTTCGGTGGCCGGTGTGTCCCCGGCCTTAGACTGCATATCAAAGCTGGGTCAATGTAACAATAAGAATTCAAGTCTTCATTTAGTGTGTTTGGGTTTGCAGTCTTCACACGGATTTTTTTTTACTTACCAAAAAAACCAACTTTTTTTTGTTTCAGCTTTGAAAAAAGGACGCTTCTGGATCACCCCTGACCCCTACCATAATGATGACAACATCCAGATTGGACGTGAAGTCAAGATTTCCTGTCAGGTGTGATGGAATAACCACCTAACATGAAGATAAAAAAAAATATGTATCTCTGCTGTCAATAATACCCCAAAATATGACACTGTGCATCTCAGGTGGAGGCAACACCCCCAGAGGAGCTGATATTCAGCTGGCTGAAAAACGGCCGCGCCCTGCGGAGCTCGGAGCGGATGGTCATCACGCAGACGGACCCTGACATCTCACCCGGAACCACCAACCTGGACATCATAGATCTGAAGTTTACCGACTTCGGCACATACACCTGCGTGGCAGCGCTGAAGGGTGGAGGCATCCCGGAGATCAGCATTGACGTAAACATCTCCTCCACAACTGGTGAGCCTCACACCCCTTTGTGTCAGCAGCTCATCTACTACCTCTGTCATCACACACAGTCACACACATACACTCACACAGACTCCTCACAGCTTTAGTTGTTTTAAAGCTAAAAGGTTGCTGTAATTGTAAGATAGCTATCTGAGCCATGACTAGGTTAAATGATGGGTTTGTGTAGTACATTTCATACACATAGGCAATTCACTGCTTTCCAATAGCAAGAACATTAAAATCAATGTGACAGCACAATTGGAATACACACAAATAAAATTTAGATTTAATAATTAGAAAGAAAAAGACTAAGTTAAAGGGTGAGCAGTTACAGTGCAGAAGGTGCAGTATAAGAACATTCATTCAATGGCTAATGAAAACATGAAGGTTTTCAGTTTTGATTTAGTTGGGGGCACATTTAAGGTAATGAGGAAGCTGATTCCATCTGAGTGAGGCATAGTAACTAAAAGCAGCTTCACCCTATTTGGTTCTGATTCGGGGTTCTACCTGACTGCTTCCCAAGGATCTCAGAGCCCTTCTGGTTGTAAATACCGTATTCTGGCTCCATGCCATTGAGTGATTTATAAACTAGTAGAAGCACTTTGAAATTGATTCAGTAGTTGTCGTCTGCAAACATCTGTGCAGCACGATAACAACACAACACATCAACCTGTCTTGTTTTCATTTATCTGCATTTCTGCTGCATCTTCATAAAAAGTGTTTACTGTCTCCAATTTGACTCTGCTGCTTTTTAGTAATTTCAGAAAAATGAAAGTATTTGGGGCCATCATGGGTGATACATCTTAAATAAATCTGCTGTCAAATTAGTTTTACTCATCTTTTTTCGTTTTTTTTTTTTTTTTTTTTTTTTGGCATTTCAACACCTTATTTGATTGCCATCTAGTTGTTTAACACTGGGAATAGGCTGACCTGTTTAAGACCTTTCTGAACTAGGGATGGGTACCTTTGACATTTGAATCGATTCTGTACTAATTCCCGGTACCTAGGAATCGATACCCGTACTTAACGGTACCAATTTTAGATAATTTTGAGTGTTTAATATTTTAATTCTCTTTTATAATTAAATACATATTTTTTCTCAATATATAACCATATTTGATAAATATCACGATAAATAACATACAACTGTTTGTATTTTAACATCAACCTTGTATTTTAATAAGCTGATAATTAAACTGAAGCAAACATCTTTACTGTGAACTAAATCTACTGTGCATCTTCAGTCCTTTTGCCGTCCTTTTTCAATTGATTTTTCCCACTGGAAAGTTAGAATTTCTGAGGAGAAAGCGAACGCATCATTTTGCTGATAACAACGGTGGTAATGGAAGCTAATTTATCAAGCTAACGTAAACTTAAACAGTTTATTTAGCTGCTGGAGCAGATTAAAATGATAATGCCTCACACTTAGATCGTTGTCACTGGTTTCATCTTCACCCAATCACCCGTTGCCAGGGGGGCTGCCAGAGATTTTGGGCCCCATGAAAAAATATCAAGTTGGGCCCCCTGGGGGCTCGTCAGGAAACGGCTTTGCCTCTGAGTCATTTGACATGTCCTGATCTTCATGTCTCTTGGCTAAATTTCTTACAATACTCTCCATTTCATCATCCTTTTTTTTTTCCAGCTTCTGATAGAAAATAGAGGGTGAAACTCTAAAATTGGAAAAACCTGACAGATCTACAAGGCTGTTGTTGGTTTAACGTCCAGGAATCAGCAGAGGACGCCTTGGCTAATTCAAGCTAACAGTTAGCATTAGCAACTCCACCCCACAGCAGAAGCAACTCCAGGCTTGTGTTATTTGAGGAGATAAAACGTCCCTGTTGCAAGTCAGTGGTTGAGTTGCGTTGCTGTCATCCAATCCAAGGCAAAATCAGGAAATAAGACTCCCAAACCCTCCGTCTGAAGCTCAGCTCTGATGAGGGCAACTGTTAGGTTCGAGAAACGGTGCACCTGAATATTTTTTCCCCCGGAGAATGACTTACAAGGCATTTATTCCTACAAGACACCACTGCAAATGGAATGATTAAACAAGTCAACCACTCTGTGACATTAATCTGTGAGCATCAAATGTGTGTTTTGTTACATTTCACTGTCCTCATTCACACACATCCCAGCCATCTTCCTGCCTTGCTCCCAGATTTCCAGATTATTCATTCGGGTATTCTCAAAGTTTGTGTTGTTGCCAGCGCCAGTAGATATCTGGCTCCACTTTGAGTTTAGTGGCATGTGTTTGGGACTGATAAGTAATTTCTTTGGTTGTGTGATGCAACTTGGCGTGGATAGTGTTCACAGGGGATCTTTATTCCTCCCGCCCCTTTACATGCACACACATCCTGTGAAGCTCGAGCACTCTTACCTTTCTGCACAGTCTTGTTTTTTTTTAACATTTCACACACACTCACACCTCACCGTCACTCATTGAGCAAACATGAAAGCAGTGCGTCGACCTTGGGCGCATAATTACTGTTAGATAATCCTTTGATAATCCCTGCGCTATAAAACAGTGGGATCAATCGCATCTGCCAAGATTGTTTCCTCATTATCTTTTAAGTAGTGCAGTTTCTTTTTTCTTTTTCCGAGTGCCTGAGTGATGCCAATGCATTAACGCAGATCCTTTAATGTGCAAAAATAATTAAATAAAAGAGCATTGCTGTCAGATGGGGGAAATTAACCAAGGAAATGACTGAGTCTATTGTGAGTGCACAAATGAAAACGTTTCCTTTAGGCTTAGATTTGATTGCTTCTTAAGCTTTCGCTGTTCCCATTCAAAAGTTGGGGGATGAAACGGTATGAAAGGCTCATGTTGGCATAGAGATGCTCCTGTCATCTGGAATAATACACTGAATTTTGTTTCTTCTCGCTACAATTCCTGCTGCATTACCTGGATGTGGGCAGGCTGTTTGCTGGAGATTGTCTGTTTCTGTCAGTCAGATTGATGCCATAAGCAGTGAAGTGCCTTTTGCAGAGCGGCGCTCTGCAGCTGCTGTGCTCCATGCTTCTGCTCTGCCGCCGCCGAGCGCCTGCAGCCTGGCTTTTGTGGTGAATAAGCCCCGTATTTGTTCCGTTGTCTTGTTCTTCTGAAGGGGAAGAAGCAGAGCTGTAATTAGAATCTAATAAAAGTGTTTAGAGGACTTTGTAGACTGCAGGTTGCATCAGGAATTCAACCCAGTATCAGGATTTAGTCCTGTCCCAAGCTAAACACGCTTAAGATCTCCTATTCTTTTGAACTTTTTAGAATTAATTTTCCTAATATTTATTGTTGTGATGAGCAACTTCTCACCCCTGAGACAGCAAGGCCATTAAACTTTTATGAATGTGGTCTGGAAAGGAGGACACAAACCTCCCCTTTGGAAGTTAAAAACCACCAGATTCGAGAGCTGCTAGACACAAAACGTGCAAGTGTTATTGTAAAACATTCATCAAGACAGCAAACATCACTAAGATGTGTTAAATGAGTGTTGTGTTCATGATTGTGACTGTGATTTTGAAATGTTGCTTTAATTTTGACTGAGACTATCTATTGAATATTTTAAATAACTTTGTTTACCAAGTTTTTGATGGAATTACAAGCTAATAGCCACAGCTTGTTCCCATTATATCATGATTGTAGTGACACAAGTTTAAATCACACCAATCCGATACATTTTAGATTCAACAAACGACCCTTGCTCATTTTCTGTTTTGTACACTGTAAAAATGGATTTTCTAGAAAGTAAAAGCCATGTTTTAACACCTTTTATCTTAATGTTAGTCTAAAAAATAGTACTTTATCATTATTATCAGCAAAAAAGGTACTACTTGAAAATAAGGTACATCTTCTTAAAGTTACAGTGTGTAGTTTCCTGGCACTAGGGGGCAGTACATAGATATACCGTAAATCCTCTAATACAGGCCCGGGCCTGTATTTGACTCAAGCTCATCAAGCTACAGGCCTTTATTGGAAGGAGGGCCAGTATTAGCGGCAGGCCTCTATTTCTATTTGAGCAAAATGAACTAATGGTTCGCTGGAGTTTTTAACAATTAATATTGCACCCACATTTTCAAAGTTAAACACATTTCTTTTAACAACGGTAGTTTCTGCTTCAGCCTGTCAGGCTGATCAGACTGGATGAAGGAGACGAACAAGGTGAGACGTTTAACAGTTTTATTATTTCTCTGGTCGTATCTCTGTGAGAAAGAAACGATGACTAAGATGAGAAGCCGGTCACGGCGTCTTCCATATATAGCCTTGCTTGGCTGTGACGTGGAGGGAATCCCCGCGAGGAGCACGCTGGGAGCTCCCCACGAGGGGCATGTCGGGAGTTGTGGTCCGAAGGTCAGCCGGGAGATACCTGAGTCCTGACAGGACCCCCCGGTCCAGGGACGGCTCCAGAAGTCCCAGCGCGACCCCGGCGGACCCAGAAGTCAGAGATCAGGGAAGGGTCCAGGATGGACTGAGCCGGCTCCCAGGAGCGTTCCTCGGGGCCATAGTCCTTCCAGTCCACCAGGTACTGCCAGCCCCGACCCCTGCGGCGAGCGTCCAGGATGCGCCGGACGGTGTAGATAGGCTCACCGTCGAGGAAGCGGGCAGGAGGCGGCGCCGGAGCCGGAGGCGGGAGAAGGGAGGACTCCACGTAGGGCTTGAGCCGGGAGGTATGGAAGGTGGGATGGATGCGGAGAGTAGCCGGCAGCCGCAACCGGTACGTGACCGGGTTGATGACCCTTTGGATGGGGTATGGGCCGAGGAACCGAGGGGCGAGTTTCTTGGACCCGGCACGGACCCGAAGGTCAGCCGTGGACACCCAGACCTTGTCCCCAGGAGCATAGGAGGGACCAGGACGGTGTCGACGGAGATGCTGGTGAGCATAGCTGGTGTTAGCTCTGGTTATGGAGGCTCGTGCTTTGATCCAGGCGCTCTTGCAGCGTCTCACCATGGCTTCCGCTGCCGGAACGGCGACCTCGGGTTCTTGGTGGGCAAAGACCGGGGGCTGGAAGCCATAGCAGACCTCGAA